TAGATGGAGAAAACAAGATATTCCATGACAAAACCAGATTCAAGGAATACATATCCACCAACCCAGGCCTACAGAAAGTCCTTGAAGGAAAACTCCAGTCCAAGGAAGTTAACTACAACCAGAAAAACACAGGCCATAGATAATCCCACCTTACCAACAGGCAAAATAAAAAAGGGATGGAAATCCACATATTCCACCACCAACAACCAATCAAAATAAAAAAAAACAAGAATGAACAATCAATGGTCATTAATATCCCTCAATATTAATAGTCTTAACTTGCCCATAAAAAGACACAGGCTGACAGAATGGATTTGAAGACAGAACCCATTCTTCTGCTGCATACAAGAAACACACCTCAGCCTCAAAAACAGACATTACCTCAGAGTTAAGGGTTGGGAAAAGATTTTCCAATCAAATGAACCCAAGAAACAAGAGGGGATAGCGATCCTAATATCTAATAAATTAGACTTTAAACTGAAATCAATCAGAAGAGATGAAGGATGTCATTTCATACTCATCACAGGAGAAATCCACCAAGAAGTTTCAATTATGAACATCTGTATGCCCCAAATACAAAGGCATCCATGTTCGTACAAGAAACATTACTAAAACTCAAATCACATATAAAGCCCCACACACTTATAGTGGGAGACTTCAACACCCACTCTCAGACAGGAATACCAGACAGAAACTTAACAAAGAAGCAAAGGAACTAATAGACGCTATGACCCAATTGGAATTAACAGACATCTATAGAACATTCCATCCAAATAAAAAAGAATATACCTTCTTCTCACCACCACATAGACCCTTCTCAAAAATCGACCACATACTTGGCAACATAGCAAACCTCAACAGGTACAAAAAAATTGGAATAACTACATGCATCTTATCAGATCACCATGCGTTAAAATTAGAATTCAACAACAACACAAATTGCAGAAACCCTACAAACTCATGGAAATTGAATAATGTGCAATTACACAATTCCTGGGTCAAAGAAGAAATAAAACAAGAAATTAAAGACTTCCTAGAATTCAACGAGAATTAAGAGACAACATACCCAAACTTATGGGACACTTTGAAAGCAGTGCTAAGAGGGAAGTTCATAGCACTAAGTACCCACGTGAAGAAACTGGAGAATAGTTACATTAGAGAATTAACAGCACAACTGAAAGCTCTAGGACACAAAGAAGCAAACTCACCCAGGAGAAGTAGATGCCAAGAAATAACCAAATTGAGGGCTGAAATCAATAAAGTAGAAACTAGGAAAACAATACAAAGAATCAATGTAATGAAGAGTTGGCTCTTTGAGAAAATCAACAAGATAGACAAACCTTTATCCAAACTTATCAAATGGCAGAGTGTGAACATGCAAATTGACAAAATCAGAAATGAAAAGGGGGACATAACAACGGACTCTGAGGAAATTCAGAGAATCATCAGGTCATACTTTGAAAAGTTGTACTCCACAAAATTCGAAAATTTAAAGGAAATGGATGACTTCCTGGATAACTATAATTTGCCAAAATTAAATCAAGAACAGATAAGCAATTTAAATAGACCTATAACCCCTAATGGAAATGGAAGCAGTCATCAAAAGTCTCCCAACAAAAAATCCATGTCCAGATGGCCTCAGTGCAGAATTCTACCAGAAATTCAAAGAACAGCTTATACCAATTCTTCTCAAAGTGTTCCACACAATAGAAGCAGAAGGGTCTTTGCCAAATTCTTTTTATGAGGCTTCAATAACCTTGATACCCAAGCCACATAAAGGCACAACTAAGAAAGAGAACTTCAGACCAATATCCCTCATGAACATTGATACAAAACTACTCAATAAAACACTGGCTAATCGGTTCCAAGAACACATCAAAACAATCATCCACCATGATCAAGTAGGTTCATCCCAGGCATGCAGGGATGGTTCAACATATGAAAATCCATCAGTGTAATCCACCATATAAAAAAGCTGAGAAACAAAAATCACGTGATCATCTCACTAAATGCTGAAGAAACCTTAGACAAAATCCAACACCCCTTCATGATAAAGGACTTGGAGAGATCCGGGATAACAGGAACATACTTAAACATAATAAAAGCTATATACAGCAAACCAACAACCAACATCAAACTAAACGGACAGAAACTCAATGCAGTTCCTCTAAAATCAGGAGCAAGACAGGCTGTCCACTCTCTCCATACCTCTTCAATATGGTACTTGAAGTTCTAGCTAGAGCAATACGACAACAAAAGGACATCAAGGGGATACAAACTGGAAAGGAAGAGGTCAAACTTTCCCTATTTGCAGATGATATGATAATTTACATAAGTGACCAAAAAATTCTACCAGGGAACTCCTATAGCTGATAAATACTTTCAGCAAAGTGGCAGGATACAAGATCAACTCAAGAAAATCAGTATCCCTACTATATACAGATGGTAAAAGGGATGTCTCCATCAAATCCCTTCCTGAAGACCCCAGGAAGCCCTGTGGAAGAGGAGGTGGAAAGAGGATAATAGCCAGAGGGGATGGAGAACACCAAGAAAGCAAGGTCATCTAAATAAACATGGGCAAAGCTCGTATGAACTCACAGAGACTGAAGCAGTATGCACCAGGCCATCTGTGGATATACTGTGGCTTCCAGTATAGTGTTATTATGGGATACCTGAGTGTGTGAATGAGTGGGTCTCTGATTCTTGTGCCTTCTTTTAGGCCCTTTTCCTTCTGTTGGTTTGTCTTGTCCATCTTTCATGTGATAGTTTTTGTTTCACTATATTTCATTTTGTTATATGTCTTGAAAACAAACAACAAAAAAGAACGAATGAAACTTATCGCTAGTGTAATGATTAACAGCTGAACCACCACTTATACCTCCTGGGAGAGAGAAAGAAAGTCAATTTTCTCCAATGGAGTGACAATGTGTATATCAAACATTCTAGGGCAGATCTCATGTTCATAGTTGACCCCATAGGGATTTTTGTTTGTTTACTTTTATTTGGTTACATTTGGGTGGTTTGGGGTTTTTATTTTTAGTTTTTGTTTTGTTGGTGTTGCTTTATTTTTGTTTTGTTTTTTATTGGGTTTTTGTTTTTTGAGAAAACTTAAAACTGAGTGGGGATCTGGAAGGGCTTAGGAGAGGAGAAAAATGTGATCATACCATATTTACATTTCAAAATTAAAATAGTTTTAGATAGTAAAAATACAAACAAACAAACAAAAACACGAAGAGAAAGTGCTGTGATTTCAGATGCCAACAGGTCATGGACTGCTTTTTTGAAACATTCTATTGGAGACCAACAAGGTGTTAATCACTACTCTTAGGAACACTTCATTCCAGGCATCTCTATTGCTGCTACAAATGATGATCATCAAAAAGAAAGAAATAACACCCTTTAGGAGATGCATCAGTGTTCCTGAACCGGAGGCAGACATAAAAAGAGTGCTAGGTGGTGGAGAAAAAAAGGTAAAAGTTTCAATCCAGCTGTCTTTCTTTTCAGTTCTGGGATAAATCAATTTTCTTTCAGTGTCACAAAGTATAACAAAAAAATAGATGGAGTGAAAATTGGACTTGAAAGTGCAGCGATAGCAGTACATTGGTTGGGAACATTGAGCTTACTACAGCCGAGCACTATTTAGTATCAATGCCAGGGGAACTGGGGTTGCCTCCTGGTGTTCTTAGTCTCATTAAGAAAGGAATTTAAGAATGGGCTCAAATAGAAGTTTGAGGGCAATTTTATTAGTTTAAAAGAAAAGCACTCCCAAGCACCTGAGGGCAGATGAGCTGAAAATCTCAGAAGCTGCCCAGAGGAAGACAACAGAGAAGGGGGAGGGGGAAGCCAGGCTGTTTCAGTGGTCGAGGAGGTCAGATACAGGGTGAACAAGCAGCCACACGGCAGGGAGGGAAGCATTAGAGAAAGAGTAAAGAAACACTGAATGTTGCGGGGAAGCCTGAAGTGTTAGGGGAAACATGCTGAGAGCAGTAATAGCAAGAAAAGGAAAAGCTATGTTTGTTTCTTTTTTTCGGGATCATTCAGGAAAACTTAGGAACTAGTATGGTCATGTTCTGTAAGAAACTGTGGCAGAGGGTGGGAATTCAGAGAAAAAAGTACAGTATCTCCATTAAAGGACCAATTAGTCAGTTTATCTCTTTAGTGTTGCTTCAGATAAGCCTCCCTTCCTAGGGGTAGTCCTCTGACAAGGTGATTGACCCGGACTAACAGCAATACAAGGTCTTCCCACAACAGAGCTTCTATCTCTTAATCAGAATGGGGATTTTTCTTAAAAAGGCCTTTTTTTTTTACTCTTACAATATCAGGCTTATTAGAAAGATTTTCGCAATGATTCAGTGCTACAATTAGTACTGTCACATTGTAAGATACATGATCTTAACCTGGTCTCTTTCAAGATGCTTCTCAAGAGGTTGGATGGAGAGGAGGAGACACTTTGAGCTATCTTGAGTTATTAAATTTATGTAGTGTTCCAGACATTGTGATCTCATTTGATCCCACTAACACTATGATCATTTAAAAAGGAAGCGGAACACTTTCCCTAAATGGTGGCACTAGGATGAAATAATGCTGACCCAAATAAAATTTACTTAGCACTGGGGAGCCCAGACAAGTAAGACATGATCCTATGTCCCGCCTTAAATGCTATCAATGGAAGTTGAGAGGCTACAGTGGGAACAGGCAGCATCCTATGCTCTTCATGGTTTTCAAGACAACAAGCGATTTCTACGGCTGAACACACTGACCCGGGTCTCAACTCCCCGGGCCATCTATCAAGTTCCGGGTACTGCGGTTGCCCTTTTCACAAAAGACCAAAGATGCCAGCACTGGTTTCGGGGGGGGGGGGGCTAACATCCTCCCAAGGCCTCCTTAGCCCCACCCCTGCCCACAATCCTGATCCTGTTCCCTTCAGCATCCGACCAGGCCCTCTAGGCACCAGGGATGTGGGGTGACCCGGACTCCAGGATACACACCGGAAGCAGTGACAGTGTGTGACGTAAGAGGAAGTAGGTAACGCCGCGGCCTGTGGTTGGGCGTTACAGGAGTTGGTGCCTCACTCTGAAGGTTCCCCAGCGTCGGGACAGCTGAGCTGTTTCAGAGCGCCAGCAACTCTCCTCAAGCCCAGCAAGGTTGGTCCAGCTCGCCCAGCACCCGGCTTTCGGGGCGTGCGAGGACTGCCCATGGTCCGCTCCTAGGCCACCAACTGGAGGGGAGTCGGTCTGAATTAGGGGACGGAACTGAGCCCTACCCATCAGTCACATCAGCAGGCTTTACCTCAACCCTGAGGGCAGTGCTGACTCCTCTGCTTGTGAGGGAGAGGCTGGAGCTCAGACGGTAACGTCAGCTGTCACAGTGTTTGCAGGTGGGACAGGCACAGATCTGCATTCAAAGCAAGTTCCCGCTACCGTCAGAGCCGTTGTTCTTTTTAAGGGTTTCAAGCATTGAGTGCCTGGGTGGCAGGGACCTTGGTTAGTAGATAAGTTCAGGGTCTCCCCAAACTGAGTAAGTCTCAGACGGCTCTCTAGAATTTTTATTTTCATCAGTCGCCCTAGACAAGTGACAGAAATCGCTCCCGTGTGAATGAGCAGCAAGGTGAGCGGGTCGGAGGTCTTCGGGGACTACCGTTAGTCCTCGTCTTATGCCTTTTAAGACCGCAAAGATGAGGTCTTCTTTCACACGTGTCGTAAGGCTGGAGAGTTGGATTTGACTGTTTCGTTAACTCTTTGGGGCAGGTGACAGCCTCTGAGTGTCTCTACCTGATAAATGATCAACACATGATAGGTTGTTGCTAATGAGACGGTCTCAATATTAGCTCATGCCTCCTGAATGCGGGGATTACATGTGTATGATCTGTAAACCACGATTCTTATCCATTAAGAAGATTTAAGCAGAGTTCTGAACCCGAATCTTCTCTATTGGATCAGAAAGTCTAGAAGATGGGCCCTGGGAATCTGTAGGCTGAGCATTAATAGAAGTGTGTTCTTTGGGAACTTGAAGCTTTCCTAGACTCATAAAGAACTGGCTTGTAAATTCAGAACATGTGTCCGAACCCTCCTGGGTTCTGTATTTACTACAAAGTGAAACTTATAGGCAAATGTGTAGGGGTTTTGATTAGCTCAAGGCTGGGACTTGATAAAAGTTGAACTTTCAGTCAGTATTGATTTCCTGAGTGACTTTGTAAGTCACTAACCCGTCTGACCCCTGTATATACTAGCATATATTACCCTTCACTGCTTGTTATAAGCATAGAAATGGATCCTTTTCTAAACCATAGTTTTGAAAGTGGTACAGAATATTTTAATTTTAGTTGGCATTACTGTATATTTTTATGGTCGACTGTGAGATTTTGATGTATGCTTGTGACGTAGAACGTGCATCAGATTAATACATCTATTACTTCACATATCTTTTGTTATGGAAATACTTAAAATCTCACAGTGACTGTGAAATATCCAGGGATTTGGTGTTTACGGTCATTGTTCTGTGCAGTAGATCAGTAAAGTTTGTGAAACTTTGTACTTGGGATCCAGTGTGTCCTTTTCCCCATCTACCCCCTCCCTAGTCACATTCTATTTTTAGGGGTTCAGCTCTCTTAAGTCTTTATGTGTGAGGTCATGTAGCATTTGTCTCTCTGTGCCTCTCTTACTTGTGGCGAAAGTCCTTCAGGTTCCTCTGTCATGGGTGTTTTTCAAACTTCTGGGGGAGTTCTACCAGTGGTAAGTGGCAATGCACTAGGAAACTGGGTCTTGGTCTTTTCTGTTTATTTTTGGGTTTTGTTTGTTTTGTTTTTTTTTCAAAACAGGGTTTCTCTGGGTAGCTCTGGTTGTCCTGGAACTCAATTTGTAGACCACACTGGCCTCGAGATTACATAGATCCTCCTGCCTCTGCCCCCGATTGCTGGGACTAAAGGCATGAACCATCAACCAGCTTGGCCTGTTTTTGAATATTCATGTTGCAGACTGTAGGGATGTCTCCATTACTCATGTTCTGCTCTTGAGACTAATAGAGTAACACTGTCCGTGATAGATGACCTATTGAGAAAGTGCTATGATGGTCAGCAGTCCCAGTGACGGCAGCCCTTGACAGAGACGGTTGACTTCATGTAGAAGCTCTATTTGCTGTTGAACCATGTCTTCTGACCAAAGGGGCTATAATTATCCTTTACTAGGCCAGCCTTTAATAAAACACTTATTTCTTTTTGAAAACAGGTAACATCGCATGGTTTGAATTGGGAATGAAATCTAAAATCTCGAACAGAAAGCGTTTTGTTCAACATGGAGGACAAAAGACGGCGAGCCCGAGTTCAGGGGGCCTGGGCTGCTCCTGCCAAGAACCAGGCTACTGCCCAGCCAGGCAAGAACCCACAGGGACTGTTTGTGGATATGGAGAGCTGCCATCTTGTTTACATCCTTTGCTTTATGGAGAATTCTCACTTAAGTTGCTAGCAGTTTTCTTTACATGTGACTGGCATTTTGTCTGATCTTGTCAATGGCGAGCAAAGGGCATGAACTTGGTTTTTTCTTTTAATCAGTACCCTCCATCAGATTTTATTGAGGCTGTTTGTTGCCTTTGTCAATTTTGCTGTTGTAAGTTATCTCCAAGGAGGTTTATGGACTCTTGTTTGAGACTCTTCTCTCCTGTCACAGGTACTACTGCTAGGAGCCATCTTTCCCAGACACCGGGGCAGGCCTGGAAGAGCAAGGAGCAACAACGGCCTGACAGAGAGTTTGTGTTCGAAGAGCCTCAGCTGGTAAATTGTTTCTCCTTCAGTAGTAACAACGGTGTGCCTATACTGTGGTTCTGTAGTAGGAACACCAACAGTGGCTGATAAGTTTACTTAAGAGTAGCAGAACAAAAGGATTCTAATAATAATGAAATGTGAATTATTTCAGTTTTCTTCTGTGCCTGAAGATTCTTGGTATTCTGTCCCTCATTGTGTGACTGTGTTTCCCTCCAAATGCTCCACCTTTTTTTTTTTTTTTTTTTTTTTTGCCGGGGAAGCTATACCATAACGACCAGCTTAAGGTAATATTGTGACTATAGCTTGAGTAGGTTAGCCTAGGTCTAACAGTTCTATAATGATGCTCTATTCAGAACTGTTGCAGCAGATCCTTCTGAAATTTCAGTGATTATAGAAAAATGCCTGATTTTTAGTCCCCACTTCCCATAGGGAATAAATGTAAAAAGCTGAGATGATTCAGTTTTACAGGGACAAGGGTATTCAAGAGTCAAGTGTGTGGTAGGCAAGTGCTCTCCCTTGAGATCAACGCCCAGTTCTTATTTATTTTCATGTGTGTGTTACACAAATGCATGTTCATATGTATGGGTACACATGCATGTGTGCCTGCATATGTGTGCATGCGTGTGCAGAGGTCAGAGGTGTGGACATCAGGTATCTTCCTCAATTGCTCCTCCCCCTTATAATGAGTCAGGGTCTCTTAGCTGGACATAGAACTTTCTAATTCAGCTAATCTAGCTAGTCAGTTTGCCCTGGGAGTTCCCTGTCTCCACCTCCCCATGCCCTGGCATTGCAGATGAGCCTCTGCACCCAGTCAGCATTTATATGGTGTTGAGGGTTTGAACTTAGCCTCTCATGCTTTTGTAGCAAGTGCTTTATCAACTAAACCGTCTCCTCTGCCCCTTCACTTAAAAAATAATAATAAAATGGAAAAAATACAGTTTAAAAATTAGGCATAGCAATCATAAATCATTGGTTCTCAGTCTTCCTAAATGCTGCACCCCTTTAATACAATTCATCACGTTGTGATGATTTCAACCATAAAATTATTTCACTGCTACTTTGTAACTGTAATTTTGCTATTGTTATGAATTGTAATGTGAATATCTGTATTTTCTGATGGTCTTAGATAACCCCTGTGAAAGGGTCATTCAACCCCCAAAGAGGTCATGGCCCACAGGTTGAGAACAGCTAATATAAATATCAGAACTCCTCTCAGAATGTGTCTTCTACTTTTTAAAAAAGTCTTCTTTATTAGTAAAAGGTTTCTGCAGAGTTTCTAGCTAACAGGAAAGTTGATTAGTCCTAGCTGTATTACATCTTCTGCCAGCTGGCCAGTGGGACATAGTTCTAGTAATCACAGAAACGATGCTCTGTTGGGGTAGTGCAGGTGGGGATGAAGAAGGGATGCTGCAAACCTGGCTTGTTTGGGCTAGGAATGAGAGGTATGGGCTCTTCTTGACCCTTGGGAATCATCCCAGAATTCAGATCTGCCTGTTTCCTTGCAGGTTGTGCGGACAGCCCCAGAACCCAGAGTGATTGAGTAAGTGAGCATTGTTCACAGTGCAGTGGCTGGCCGGGATCTTTCCCTCCATGAGTTTCCCATTTAAAAGAGAATGGCACAATAGCTCTAAATGTTTAGCTGGAAGGAATAGTCCTCCCTCAGTCTTTGAACTTGATCTTTTGAAGAGACTTTTTGGCTTGTTGAGAAGCCCATAAGTGCCATTTTACTAGTGGTTCTTATAAAAGCTACTATCACCTAGATGACCCTACAGCCCATTTATTAAAACCACGGGGTTGTTCCTGAGCAATTTAAGCAATGCTAAATGTTCTTCTTGTATTGATCTGTGTCAGAAATGTTCTCCAAAGCCAGTGAGAGAGATTTTGGCTTCTTTTCTCCTTCTTCTCATTTTCCACCTGATGTATCTGGCTTTTATGTTAGCAATTACCATCAGCTGGATGTTCTTGTCCATGAGTAGTCTGTTATTATATATATATATATATATATATATATATATATATATATATATATATATATATATATATTTGTAGATTGGCTTTTACAAGAATTTGAAGCTAACACAAATGTCAATATAATTTCAAAAAATCTATTATATCTTTGCAGCTAGTTAGCTATATAACTAGTCTTGAGTTATTTCTATCTCCGTAGAGTTTGATTTTCTTCCTTGTGTGTTAAGGATTGGTATTCCAATAACTTAAGCTCAGTCTAGATATACTAGTTTTTGACTGTTTGAATAGTAACTGTATAGTATCACCTCCATCGGTGACAGAATGAACAAAGCCATGAAACCATTACAGTCAGGCTTAAATGGGAGGGATGCAAGTCAAGAGAATATCACAGCATCTACCCTTGTTAGTTAGGGATTTAGCCTTGCTGTATCTAAAGTTAACTCTCTTAGGCTTAGTTAGCCAGTTCCAGAAATGTGCTCCATTTTTAAAGTGGCACAGTTTCTAGATACAGCTCAGTATATCTCATTAAAGCCTAGTATTCATAACTTGAAACCTATGTAGACAACTTCTGTAGAAATGTGATCTTTGTGAAATATATACTAGCTATGCTCATTCAGCTGCCTAAGAGCTTAACCGAGGGGTTGTGAATCACTGACCTCTCAAGAGAGGTGACATGAAAACCTTTAAAGTAGTAAAGACCTGTCTGCCCTGTTGCTTTTCTGCCAGGAACCCTACACCTTTGTATCTGTGTTTCATACCTTTCCACGTGTGATTAAATTCATCAAACTTTTATCACCCATCCACTGTGTATAAGCTGTGAGAATAAACCACTCTTTGCCCCTTAAGGGACCCACAGTCTAGTGAATAAAAAAACAAGTTGTAGTTTTGTACGTAAGATCTAATACCGGCACAGGGTAAGATGAGTGATGTATTGTCACAAATTAATGGTCAGGGAAGGTTTAGAAGTGGGGATAAGTGAGATATTTGTAGGGTAAGTCAGAAGTTTTCACTGGGCCAGACTGGGCATACAGAGACATGGGCTAGAAACACCCACCGTGCTGTGTCAAGGGAATGCAGACAGTTGATGCTGAGGATGTGGCCTCTGTGGGGCGTTGTCAGAACTGAAGGCTTTTCTTTCTTTTTTTGGGGGGGGTTTACAAGACAGGGTTTCTCCGTATTGTTTTGGAGGCTGTCCACCTTTTTTTTTTTTGCCGGGGAAGCTATACCATAACGACCAGCTTAAGGTAATATTGTGACTATAGCTTGAGTAGGTTAGCCTAGGTCTAACAGTTCTATAATGATGCTCTATTCAGAACTGTTGCAGCACATAAGATCTCTGCACGTTCAGTTCTGCCTCTGGGGTAGATTTCCTGGCCCCATTTCACTGATGTCTGTAATAGAAAGCTGGAGATGGAAGAGGCTTTTTCCTGAGTCACTGGAGCTTGGCTGTCAGTACAGCCCGGCCTCGAACTCACAGAGATCCGCCTGCCTCTGCCTCCCGAGTGCTGAGATTAAAAGCGTGCGCCACCACTGCCTGGTGACACTGAAGGCTTTTTACTCAGAGAAAGAACTCACTAGACATTTGTCTTTTAAAGGAACAGAAGCTCTAGGTCTTGAGATGCATGTACATGCCACCTGGGTTGTAACTCCTCATTCCAAACTCTCCTTTGTATCAGCCTAGAGTATGGGTGAAACCTCGAGGGATACATCAGAGCTTACTTTCTCCCACTTTTGTCTCCGTGGCCTGATCCCATCGGAGTTCTGTTCCCAGAGCCATTAATGATGCACTGCCATTTTGCCCTTGCCTGGCAGTTAAGAAGGGTGGAACTTCTCATAGTGTTTTCTATAGGTAACCAATCCTGGTGAGCCAGTACCTTGGGAAGGCGGAAATGGGGTGGATTCTTTTACCTCACACTAACACAGACTTTTCCTCTGCTTTTTCAGCAGGGAGGGTGTGTATGAAATCAGCCTGTCACCCACAGGTGTGTCTAGGTAGGTGACCTCTCACTGGAATGTGACGTTAGCTGTCATTGAGTTATCATCTCTTGAAATTGCTTGTTAAGGAACAAGACTTGGGTAATACCTCCTTTTTACAAACTATTTCTAGCATGAAAACATTTTCAGCTTCTGCCAGTTACAGTGACTACTATGACTGCACGAGGAAGCCAGGCCCAGAGAGGCCGTCCTTTTTCTGCACCCCCGCCACTCACACAGCTTAGTGCCAGAGCTGGCTTCATTATGACTGCTGGCTTCATTAACCGGTAGGTTCATTATCTAGTTTACAGTGCCACATCAAGGTGAACTGAAGATAGAGTTAAATCATATGTTAAGTGTAGTCACAATTCTAAAATATTTGAATATATCTTAATGTACAAGTATATTAATTATCACCATAAACCAATGAGATAAATACATCAGAAATGACAAATGAAAATTACTTAACGGGAGCCTCTACTGGATATGGAACAGTCTGTAAAATTGTTTGGTGTGGCTGTTTGAATCCCACTTAGAGCCTCCCTGTCTTAGTTTGTTTTCTGTTGCTGTGATAAAGACCATGACCAAAAGCAATGTGGAAGGAGAGGGTTTATCTCATCCTACAATTCTCGGGTCACAGTTGGTCACCAAGAAAGTCAGGGCGGGAACGGAAGCAGAGGCCATGAACAAGTGCTGCTTACTGGCTTGCTCTTTCTGGGTTACTCTGTGTTCTTAAACACCCAGCAGCATCTGACCAGGGATGGTATTGCCCACGGTAAGCTGGGCCTTCCCTCCTCAATCGTTAATCAAGACAAACCCCCACAGACTTGCCCATAGATCAGTCTGATGGAGGCAATTCCTCAGCTGAGATTCCTTCTTCCCATATGACCCTTGCTTGTGTCAGGTTGACAAGCAACAACAACAAAAGAAACCAACCTTCCAACCGGGACACTCCCTGTAAAGCACAGCTTTCACCAGCCAGTATGTGAGCAGCTGTACTGTCCTGTCAGCCAGGTCTTGTGTGAACTAGGTGGCTTTAGATGACCTCAGCGTCTTGTAAATCACAGCACCTTCTGAGGCTTCGCTGCTGTCAAGACTGCAGGAGAGAGGCTTCCAGGCTTTTCTAAGCAAAGAGATCAAAATAACTTCAGCTGAATCTCTAACAGGATGAGAATGTATTTAGTAAAAGGAGACCTCATTGGGTTTGTTGGTTTCGATACCCATGATAGTCTCTGTCTTCTAATGGATGTAATTTTAAAAACTATTTTGACCCCTGCATTTTTACTCTTCATAGTGACGTTAGGAAATGGATGTCATCTTTAAGTTACACTTTTGGAAACTGAAGGATATTGTCTGCTCAAGGTTTTGAAACCAAGCCATGCTAGTAATCTCTGTCTCTCATCTCCTGGGCAGTGTCTTGAATACTGTTTGAAGCAGAAACCTAAACAAGCCTCAAGCATCCCTCATACTTGCTTGTTTCTTTAGTGGTACCCTGAATGGAGTTTATTTTACATGAAGACCATGTGGAAGGAAGTGGTGAAATGGTCCGTCCTCCCTTTAAAGTGACGGTCTAATCAACTGATCACCAGCAGTTACTCTAGTCTGCTTTCTCAGTGTAGTTTAGCTACTGACAGTTCTTTCTGCATTAAGGGTGTGTCTGTATCCTGGCTTCGTGGACGTGAAGGAAGCTGACTGGATATTGGAGCGTCTTTGTCAGGATGTCCCCTGGAAACAGAGGATGGGCATCAGAGAGGGTAAGTAGGCCTCTGGGCCTGCATAGTCCCCATTCAATGTTTTTAAATTCCTCACATCTGCTTAACACAGCTGGTCTCAAGCAGGTTAAAGCCCAAGACTCCTAAGGGACAGACAGGAAGGAGTGTGCCTGGCAGAAGCCCTCGCCAGTGGAGGCCCAGAGGTCAGGGAGAGTGGACAAGAAAGAGGCAAGAGCTCAGAGACCCAAGAAAGCCTGCTAGCTTTAACTGCCTCCTCTGTTCCCACGGTGCTTGTTTCCTCTTCATAGAAGTTTCCAGAGCTTTCTTTTTGCTAATCCATTTGGCACACATTTTTCTGAAGTCCTTCCTACTGACTTTGTGTTCTCTCTCTTCTTTCACTGGAGTCGGCCAGGCTCCTTCAGTTTCTATGTCTGCTCTTCTGATCTTGGCCCTTACTGTTGCTCTCTGCACCTGCAATGCCTGGGATACCACACATGGCCACTAGAGGGCGTCTGTGCTCTGGCATAGATTCCTCCAGTAGGACATGGAGTTTGAATTGCTTGTGAAAAAAAGAGGCAAAGTGCATGTAAACTGGCTTCGTTTTGTTTTTTGTTTCTTTGATTTTTTTTACACGGGTGTCAGAATAGGAACAGCCTTTTTAGGGAGCCTTCTCCCTACTCCAGGAGTTTTCACAGTGTGGCTTTAGGTTGATTGCTTTAGCATTCCAAGTAATTGTTAACTTTGAGCAAATTACAGTTCAGTGACTCTGTAATTCTAGGTTTTCTTATCTTATCTTATCTAATAGTACATAAATTATAAGATTCATATGTTAATTAAATAAATTAAAATGGTGCATAAAATCTGCTTAACAGAATGCCAACTGGTGTGTGTGTGTGTGTGTGTGTGTGTGTGTGTGTGTGTGTGTGTGTGTGTGTCCTCTAATGAGCTCTGGCTCCCCCCCACACCTCTTATTTGGCAGTTATGGGTTAAACCTGGGGTCTTTTGCAGGCTTAGAAAACCATACCACTGAGCTACATGTACCCAGCCTTATACTTAATCTTGTTGTTGTACCCGATGTCTGTTGGGGAGAGATGGAAACCCCCTAACCTCTCTAAAACAGCTTAGATATCACACACTTGTGACAAAAGCAGGTGTGTGTTACAGTTGCTTACACTTTTTAGATCAGAAGGCCGTGTACAGTGTTGCTAAAACACATAGGTGAGCAGTTCTTTGGTTTCCAATAGGTTATTGGTCCCACAAATGTCTTTTCATGGGGTCCAGGCTCCATATTCTGATTTTTGAGGCTTTTTCCCCCCATGACTGAAACAAAACATATCATACACATTCCTTTGCCCAGGCTGTCCCTGCCAGCATGCCCTCTTTCCTGTGTAGCCCCTCCCGCTTCTACTAGCCACCTCCCATATCCTGTCTGAGGAAGGACTGGGTCGGCCTTCCTCTTCCTCTGTGCTCCTCATGCTTCTTGCACAGTGCAGGCACAGATCGGCTGGCGGCAGCAGGCACGCCTTACCAGCAGCAACTGTCTCAAGAGCCCTGTATTTTCTTTCTTAGATATAACTTATCCGCAACCAAGACTTACAGCATGGTATGGAGAGCTTCCTTACACTTACTCAAGAATCACTATGGAACCAAATCCTCACGTATGTTGAAATGATGTCACTGGTGTGGTTTTCTAGTCTAAGGGTTGAATCCTGGAAGTAATTCCTCAGAGAGGCACATGACAGTTCCTACCTCAGAAAGTCCTCTGGGTTCAGAAGCCTCCTGTTCCTCGTGATTTGTAAGTGCGCGCAGAGGACGGGAGGAAACTGGCACAGTGAATTGGGACTGGAGAGGAGGGTCCCGGGGATGAGCTCTCTGCAGACCCCTCCTCCGAGAGCACCGCTGTGTTTTGCTGTGCCGCACGTCCCTGTGAGGGTTGAGTGCCTTTCCATTTCTCAGCTCTGTTGTTACTTGTGACAAAAACCTGGGTTTTGTTAATTCTATATTTGTTCTGTGGGCACAGTTTCTAGACTCCACCTTACTGTTGCTTGGGTCTGTTTGTACTGCTTCTTCTGTTGTTGAAGATTTCTATGATAGCTAGGCATAGTGGTACATGCCTCTAATTCTACAACGCAGGAAGCTAAGGCAGGGGGATCATAAGTTCAAGGCCAGCCTTAACAGCACAGTAAAATCCTATCTCTTAAAAAAAATTCCATGACAGTAGACAAAGATATTTTGGTATATAAATAAGCTTGTCCAAAGGCTAGAGTCGAGGTCCAAGAAATAGCTCCCTGTTTAGTTCTTGGACTCTTGCCTTTGACAAAAATGTTATGCTTTATTGAAAGAGACTTTGAAGAAATGGAGTTTTGCTTATTCATTTGGACACACAGAAGTGTGACATGTTTTAGAGCCCTAGCAATGTAATCACAAAGCCCCTGTGTGCTGAAGTACCCAGGGACAACATGGACCCAGTGTGGCTGTCACGGGGGAGACTGCTGCTGTGATGGCCGTGGCCTAGGCCTGGTCAAAGACCCACTTCAGAAGCGGTGGGGGCTCCTTTCTCTCAAGTGGATTTGGAGACACTGAGGGAACAGAAGCTGCCCCCACTTGTGTCACAGCCGTTTGCCTGCATGTTTGTCACCGCGGCGGTGAAGCCAGGCGTAAGCAGGCCTGGGGAGAAGGCCCTTCATTTGTTCCAGGTGGTCTTCAGTCAGCTTTTTCAACAGGCATTGCTATTGGGGGCAGGTCCCTGGGCTAAAAACCACCGTCTTTAGAGTTCACAGAAGCCACACAGCCTTGCTAACTACTGCCTTTCACTTTGAAGGCATTTTTAAAACTACTTTTCAGAAGAGGTAAGAGGGCTCTAGGTTTTTCCCAGGAAAAACAAAAGTGGCTTGGGCATGCAGTTTAGTTGAACAGTGCTTACTCGGCATGTACAAGGCCCTGAGTTCCTACCACCACAAAACATAGGCCAGCCTAACAAAACAAAACCCCCTCAAATGAATAAAACTGAAAAATTATCTATGAAAGTTTCTCTTAACTATATATCATTGACAAATCTTAGAATCAGTAAATATTCTATATGGGTTTAATACCTGTATAATAGTTATAGTCTTTGAATGCATTAATTTATTTAAGCCTCTTGTTGGACATTAAGATTGTCAGAATAGGGCTAGAGGGAGTCCTCAGCCAGGAAGTGCTTGCCGCACAGGAATGCGGACCTGAGTTTGAGCCGTACCTTCCGGCCCAGGTGGAAGAGTATAGTAGTTCACATTTGGAATCAGTGCTGAGAAGTATACTGGCCAGTTAGTCTAGCCTACTTGGTGAATTTAATGCAAGTGAAAGATCTTGCATCAAAATAGTAATAATAAAAATAAAAAACAACTGGGCTACACCTATGGGATGGTGTAGAAATTATCTTCTGGTCTCCAAGCATATTATATGTGCAAACACATTTGCACACAAAAGATTCTCAAATTATAACTCCTATTGTGGAATTTTGTGTGTTTATTGCTACTGTATTTAGTACACACACACACACACACACACACACACACTATTTATTTTGAGACGAGGCCTCATTAGATAGATAGACTGGCTCCAAATTTCTATAGCTAAAATGGCCTCCCATAGTGACGTTACAGGCATGGCCACAAGGCCCTGCTTTAGTCGTAGTCTTTGAAGCTTGTTTGCCTTTGTACAAACTGAATGATAATGGGCCGGATGTATAAGATAGATTAAAACTTAGTCAGCTGCAAGTCCCACCAACATGACCTTCTTTCTGTAGACCCAGATCCCTTCTGTGGCACTGAGACCACTCTGAAGACTGCTTGAAGTCTGCTCTGTGTCTTCTGTGTTCTCCAACTTTGCCTTGGGTGTCTTTTAAGGATAGATGCCTTCACTGAACAGCAAGATGACGCTGAATTTTAATTTAGACATTGAGTTCTAAAGGATCTCTATTTAGAGAATTGGTTAAAGAGTCTAAATTAATCCTCCATTACCCACCCTATGTCTCCCTTTCTCTATACTTCACTACCAAAAATAACCTAGAAAAAACAGATCCCCACTTAGAAACATAATGCAAACTTGATGTTGTCACAGTGCTGAGTCCCAAGCGAGTCAGGCAAGTGCTAATGGGCTTCTCAGTCACATTCTAGAAAAGCCATCTTCTTTACATTTCGTTTTCTTGTTAAGTGTGTACTCCTAGAATCTGATCTCTCTCTGTGAAGGTAGATTACAGCTGGAAGATGGGCAGGAAGCAAGCTGGGATTTCACTTCAGAATTTGTTCTCTGGAATAAGGGCCAGCTGAGTAACATTTTTGCTTTGCTCTATTGACCTGAGTCCTGTTAGCGATTACTGTCCATTTCTTTCCTAAATCCTGTTTAGTAAATGCGGTGGTGACAAATACATAGAGGCCCGACTTTGATTCTGACTTCACGTTGCTGGACTGCTCCAGTGCTGTGTGGCAGGGACAGCAACAGGGCCAGACTTGGTCCTGCACTGTCCTCTCCGAGCACCCATCCTGTCACTACCAGGTGGAACACAGCTGTGCTGGAAGCTTCCAGAAGCAGCAGTTCTTGAACCCCAACCCACGGGCCCAGGAAGCCTCTGTAGGGGCTGCACTATGTTTACACAGCAAGGGCAAGAGTGTGTGTTTGTAACTGTAGCATCTGCTCTGATGCCACTGAAATGCAAACGGACATCAGGGAGCACCTCAGCACCCACTGACTGCAGTGATGACTGTGCTCCCTCCTGAGCTTTCAAAATGCTGAGTTTAGTTAGCGCCCATGAGATGGCTCTGTGGGTACAGGCACCGGCCCCAAGCTTGGTGACCTGAGTCCAGTCCCATGAACCCCATGGTGAAGGTGAGAACTGCCCCCTGTAGATTGTCCTCTGACCTCCACATATGTGCTATGAACACGTGGGCACACGTGCACATGCACGAAAGAATGTAATTTTAGAAGCTAAAAATAAAGGGGCTATCAGCGTAGCTCAGAGGTTTATGAGCACTTGTTTTTGTTAGAGGACTTGAATTCCGCTCCCCACACTCATTGCTCCTCACAACTGTCTGTAACTCCAGTTGCAAGAGCTCTGACGCCCTCTTCTGACTTCTGTGAGCCCCAGGCACACACATAGTATAAATACATATATGCAGGCAAAACACTCATAAAATAAAAATACATGCACATAAAGTAAAAGTAAATCTGAATTTTTTTTGTAATTAGAAATAAAAATGCTAATCCAGGCATAGTGGTGAATGAATGCTTTTTATTCAGAGATCTACCAGCCTGATCTACAAAGTGAGCTCCAGAACAGCCAGAGCTATATATAGAGACAAACAAAACAAAACTAATTTCATTAAAGGTTGGCTTTTTGGAAACAATAACCTTAGTTTTACTAAATCCTGGAATTCAAGTACATCTGAATAGTTCACTTGATGATATTGAAAGAATACATAAAGCATGTTTCCTAAAAACTGAATGTGATTGAGTTGTAAGCTGTCCCCCCTCCCCCATAGATTACTTTTATTTAAAACTGGCAAACATCCGGGCAGTGGTTAGTACGCGCCTTTCATCCCAACACTCGGGAGGCGGAGACTGGAGGATCTCTGTGAGTTCAGAGCAATGTCCAGGACAGGCTCCAAAGTTACAGAGACACGCTTTCTCAAGGAAAAAAACAAACAAACAACAACGAAAAAAACCTGGCAAACAGACTTCTTATTCAGATCTGAGAATGGCGACAAACTATTTTCCTCATCACCAAATGAAATTAGTTTCACTTCAGTGAAAACAGACAGGGTTTGTTGTCAATGATAAAAATAGAATTTTCAAGCAAACACCAGACTTGGGGAAACTAGCTTCCATCACTTTGAGCCTGGCTTCTTCACATGACCTAGATATCTCTGATGAGATTAGTGGCAGTATTTACAGCTTCATTACTATGTAATGAAATGTGTAAATGTTTAGAAGGACTGTACAACTCAGCAACTGGTGTTTCCCAGGTGACAAAGGGTAGATCTTACACAAACCGTACAAGGATAAAAGGTCCATTCAAAATTTTATGTAAACCACTGGATTTAAGTGTAAAAGAACAAGAAAAGTTGGAGATAGTGTCAGATTCTGAATGGGACTAACTCAAGAAACCCACCAGGCTGAGCTTGGGATGCCCTCTAACAGGCTGTGAGCTAATTTTAACAGAGTAAATGCAGAAGCAGGAGAGCTGACTGCCTCCTGTGAAGACAGACATTGTATTTGCAAAGCAGGGCCACTCTCGCCACATTTTTCAATTGAAATTATATTTTTCATACAAAGTTGCATTTTGAATGAAATTACCAATGGTGTATTTATTTATCTTGACACAGGGTTTTGCTATAGCCCAGGGTGGTCTTGAATTCTTTGTTCTCCCTGACATTATAGCATGTACCACCACTCTGAGTTCAGCTTTAATTTTAATGTAGTAAATATCAATAACTAACCTAAAAGAACAAAGGTTCAAGCTGGGCATGGTGGTGTACACCTTTAATCCCAGCACTTGGGAAGAAGAGGCAGTCAGATCTCTGTGAGTTCAAGATCAGCCTGCTCTACATAGCAAGTTCCAGACCAACCAGGTTTACATAGTGAAACCCTGCCTCAAAAAACAACAGTAAAATTCCACAAAGGTTTTTTTGAGGACATCAATCTTTTGGTAATCTAAAGTTTGAAAACCACTGCCTAAAGTGTATGTATGCCGGGCTCTTGAGACTTAGTGAGACGTGGAACTCTATTACAGCCAGTGCATAGCCTGTGGCTGATGTTCTTAGCTTCCTGTATCCATGGCCACACAGTGCAGACTGCATCGCTGAACGGGGTCTGGACAACAAGCAGTGCTGGACAGTATAACTAAGTCTGTAATTTTATAGCTCTTAAGAGTGCGCTCTGGATCCCATTCTGTAGAAAAGAAAAAGACCCTATGTGTTTTTTGACATAGCACAGACAGACAAGGATGGCTTCAAACTTGCCTCAGGCTCCCAAGTGCTAGGATTACTGGCATACATCACCATGCCAGGCTTGGGGTTCTGTTTTTAGGAACTTAGCCACTCTAAATGTTTTCAAGAAAGCACATCTGGAATTGAGAGTAAAATAGGAACGGCATGAATGGAAGCCCCGCTGAGGGTTCTCTTGTTCTTCACTTGAGACGTGTGAGAACTGACTGGCTACGTCAGCTCACTGCTACACTTAGCACAGCACTGCCTTGCAGAAACACCCGATGTCCTGGCATTGGCTTCTTCGTGAGGACATGCAAGAGAACAAGAGATGGTAGACAGGCTTCAGCCTTCAGATTTAGTGCTTTCCTATAGTGGAGGAGGTTGACTTTCTTAGCATGGAGTGGAGGGAGGAGACTAAGCTACTCCTCTCGCCTTCTGTTTGTCAGTTGCCCCACTCAGAACTTGGCTAATTTTGCCTTTCTTTCTATTTTTTCATGACTGCCTACTATGTCTTGTGTGTCTGTCCCTGCACTTGCTTGGGCTCGCTGGCAGTGGCATCCCGTGCTGTGCACCCTGAAGAGCCGCATTGAGGAGAACACTGGCCATACCTTCAACTCCTTGCTGTGCAATCTCTACAGGGATGAGAAGGACAGTGTGGACTGGCACAGTGATGACGAGCCCTCGCTGGGGGCCTTTCCCATCATTGCCTCGCTTAGTTTTGGTGCCACCCGAACTTTTGAGATGAGGAAGAAGCCCCCACCTGTGAGTATTCTCTGCCTTAAGCACATGCTTTCTTTTGCTTCTTAATCAGGGAAGAACGTAGAGCTCCAGGATCAGAGGGCAGGAGTACATGATACTGGTGAAACATTTTCAACGGGTTGCTTCCTCCATAGGAAACACGTGGCTTCCAAAGTGCCCACTCATGCATTTGCTTACCCAACAGGAATTGTCCCCCCATGCCAGGTCCTGTGGGCCCATTACCACTGATGGAAAGGAGTGACACAGTCCTTATCCTATGCAAGGCATCTGCTAGACAGAGCATTTGAATGATTGCAACTGTGATTCACACTATGGCTGGAGTTACAGAAGGGTGACTCGAGTTAGGGAGATTCCAGAAACTGAAGAAAGATGCCCCTGAAGTAGCTGTCATTTCCTGTGTTCCTGTGTGGCATGCCACTCTTCTGTGAGGAAGCATCATGCAGATCCTCGTTGCCTTCTTAGTCTTCTGAAAGACATGTGAGCCTGTGACTTGTTGAGTGAGAGGAAGCTCAAACCAGATTATCAGGCAGTAGTGTGCCTAAGTTGAGGTTGGGAAGCAGTGACTAAACTGACTTTAATTTCAGCTCTCACCCAAGCTCTCAAGTAGATTACATGGCATTTGAAAGATTTAGGACTATTGACCCACAAGTCCAGCCCTAATGTTTTGAATCAAAAGCGAACCTTAGAACAAAGATAGAAATCTAGAAGAAACTTCATGAGAGGAAATTCACTAAGTCATCCTGAGTCTAGCGTTCCAGATATTCAGCCGCCATCAGTGTGGAGGGCCAGCAGGCTTCCTGACTTACTCAGAGCTCCTGTCTCTTGTACGTCAGATACTTCTGTAACAGGCCTGTGCGGTGCCATTCAGTGTCCACATGAGCTTTGGCTGTTGTTGGTAGAGTATTCTCAGTTACCAGTGTGAGAACCGGAACTGTATTCTCCAGCAGCCTCCTTGGGGATTAGGGAGTAGGAGTTTAGCACCAAACTGCCTGGCACTTGCTGGTGTCTTTCAATACTTCTTCTACACATGGGCCTGCACTTGGATCCCACGCCACACATATGAAGAGTCTTCTTGCCTTTGTAAGATTCCTGTATTAGAGATATTAGAGGAAGACTGTGTACCTGATGGCTTTTCAGACCCTCTTCTCAAACAGATGTGGGACACCAACCCTTTTCCAAGCGAGTCCTGGGTCTGCAGGTGTAGCTGTGAGTTAGCAACACAGCTCCTCCAGCTCTAGTACTGTAAGCTCTGGTGTCACTCTCTTTTTGATTCTCACATTGTTGGCTTTGTAGTCAAGTGTTTAAATCTTCAGTGAGTTTTGATTTACCCATGTATATTCAGCACCACCCCCTTATAAAAAAATGGGGGACGCTATTTATAGATGGGAACTTAAGAATTCCCAAAGTATGCTTTCTGGGTAGTTAGTTTAATGTACATGCAGTTCCCAACTGCTAAACATTAGCAGTGTGTTGGTGCCCAGAAACACCCGACTGTCTCCCCTCCCAGCACAGAAGTGCTTCATTCTCTCATAGAAAGATCTGTCTCAGGGACTAGGGCTGAAGCTCAGAGCGCATGTGCAAGGCCCTGGTTCTATGAGCACAACAAACAAACCAAGCAAAAACCCAGCACATGGTGAATAAGAACGACTCCTTGGTAGTAACCTGTTATGTTGTAGGTTGGTGCTTGGTCAGCAAACACAGCAAACACAGATAGCATTGTTTCTGGGTGTGACTGTGTGGAACACATCTCTGTTTAAGCGAAAGACTGCCCACACCGGGGCTGTCTTTTCCTGGGCTTCCTGAAGTCTGTTTTCAGGAACCTGGTGAAAGCAGAGGTCATGGAGTGTGAAAGAGGTCAAGGCCCCTTGGTGTCCCTGGACTACAACTGTGTCAGCTGAGTTAATGGAGCATAATACATCTCAGAAGTGAGAAAATTTATCTGAGGTCTTGAAATAAAGTTGGCTGCGGAAATGAGTTTGGGAAGAAACATAAACTGCCAGTACCCCAAGTTACTGGCTTTAGTAAGTTTTGGCTTCTGGCCTCATTTTAACGGGGATTGAATTTGGCACAATGCTTATACACACTCTCGATTTTGACTTTGTTTAAGATGGAGAAACTGAATGTTATTGTGTTTGAGATTATAATCACACGTTGGTGATTACAACTTAGAAGTTCCACTCTTGAGTAAACACAGCACATGTTTAAACTTCTGAGGACTCACTCAGACTTCATTAACAGATTCCGAAACCCTGGAGCCCCATAAATGTAACCGAATGCAGGAACCTTTTTTGAGTTGACAGCCATGGAACTACTTCTCAGGGCATACATCTTCTGCAAATGGATCTTTTCCTGAAGATTCAAGGGAATCAGTTCTTCAAATCTTTGTCTACTTTTCCATCTAAATTCAGGTACTGGCTCAGAGAATAAAACCCATGACTCATAACCCAAAGTTAAACAGGATGTCACTCTTCTGTGTGGCACTTGGAGGTCTGACTCTCTGTACTCTTAGGACCTGTCTCTGAATGTTACTACTGGTTGGAGTTTTCCTGTCTGTCAGCAAGACATTTGAGTTAATGGTTGTAGGAAGGACTCTTGTACACTCCCATTCGCTTTGTCCTATCAGAGGGGAGCTGTCACCTGTCTGATTGGTTTCTCATCTGAAGCAGATAAAGGCCAAGAGATTTCCTGGGTTTCGCACAGCTGTGGAGTTTTGAGACAAGGCCTTTGGGGGCTACTTTCAAAGACTTTGTTTGTTTGTTTGTTTGTTTTTGAGACAGGATCTCATGTAGCAAAGCTGGACTTGAACTTCTGAGCCTGCTGCTTCTGTGTCCCCTGTGCTTGAGGTGCGTCCACCACCACGCCCAACTAGAGCAAGAGAAACCGTCTTGCTCCCACTCCTGCTTTTTTTCCCTTCAGATTCAGACTCTTCCACCCCTGTAGCAGCTGCTTGCCTTGCAGTCTGCCGCCTGCATCAGTCTGGCTGCTGATCTGCTGGAAGCTGCCCCATGTTCTACACACTATTTCAAACAGTTTTTCCATGGCTGACATGGAAGGCCATCTCCAGTCCCTACACACCCTCTGATGTGTGGATTAAACATGGACTAACAAGGTGCCCATCCTTCTTCTTTCACTGTCCTCTGCTCCAAGCCTGTGGAGTCTTGCTCTAATTTTGATTTTAGAGTAAACTACTGTTTCCTCTGGTGGCAGTAAGGTACAAAGGGTACAGTAGTTTTTGTTGGTCTTGTTCTGCACCTTGTCCCTTCCTTCGTGTGGGTTGAGTCAGAAACTGGCCAGTGCCAGCCTGTCCTGTCCTAAGACAAGGGAAAGCACACCAACTACAATCAACAGACCTTTGTACCCTATCTGAGTGGGTTCCTGAAAGCTTTTCTGCACTACTTCTCCCGAGCCTAGTTGTACTATACAAACTACATCATGTTCCTGTTTGCAAAGATTAGCCTGGTTCTTTCCCCATCTAACTCTAATTCTATACAGACGTGCAAACTAGAAAAGGAACTACAAAAGCCACTTGGCAGGCTGCTATTTCTCTGTCGGTTACCGTGGAAACAGTGATGGCTGGGGGGGTGTTATTAGATAATAGCAGGAAGTTTGTGATGCACTGGAGGGTTAGATGCCAAAAACCTTGTTTTTGTAGCAAATTACCTTGGATAAGCTCTTTTCCTGATCAGCCGAGTCGTGCCTTTAGGAGGGGCTTCTCTCCACCGCAAGATGATTGAGTTGAGGCAAAAGAGGTTTCTCTCTGGCCATTTCTCTCCCCAGCACCTTATGAAAGATGTGCATCACACCAGTGGGGGTGGCTGTAAAAGCAAGACTAATGGTAGCATCTCTGAGAACACACTTCACTAAATGATTTGTTATACACTCCTGGGAATACTGGAGTACTGAAAAGTCAGCTTGATCATCAATATTGATTTTTTTTCCTGGACTTTAGAAAGAAGGAAAATATTGATATTTAAAATGTTATGGCACTGGGTGGCTTAACCTTAGAAGCTGGAATGCTGGAACTGTGTGACATTCAAATTAGTGACTGAGCCTCCACCACAGGCAGTGATACCGCCCCCCTACAGTTTTCAGTCATCTGTCCTTTTAATTGTTTTGAGACAGAGTCTTGTTTGACTTAACCACCCTGGCCTCAGGCTCACAGTCTGCTTCCCAAAGGCTGGCATTACAGTTGACCACCATCCAGGCTCCCTCTTCATTAAGCCGTCTGATCGCAGCGTCTGTCCTGAGAGCTTACAAGAAACACTTGAAAGAAGTTCTTTATGACCTGTTCTTCTCAAACACTCTGCAGGGAAGGTGGGAAGGTCAGCCTGGCTTCCTGATCCTGCCCCTGGGCTGGGAAGCAGCACTTACCCATACTCTTCTCTCATAAAGGGAAATGATCATTGGTAGCGACTTCAGGGGAATTGTTGAAATGCTTTTCCAAGACGGTTGCTGGAGTAATACTACTCTAAGTGGTATGTTCATTGGTGATTTAATCAGGAGCTAGAAAAAGGAAATAAGTGCCATGAGAGTGTAGACTGGAACAGGGGCAGCCGCTGGGTCAGAAATAGGGAGGGGCTTTTGCTCTCCTTGGAGGCTGGGGGTGAGAAAATAAACATGCATGGTGAAGTGATGAGCAAAAGAGATGCGTTGTCCTGTAGGACTTGAAACCCTTTAGACTTGCAGCTCTGGAAGACGTGCAATTGTCATTTGTGCCCTGATGGGTTCTGGAAAATAACTAGTTCCCAAGTTTTTGTAAAGAGTCTCACTGTGTGACCCAGGTTGGCCTGAATTTTGGATCTTCCTGATCAGCCTTCTGTATATTTGATTTTAAGTATGCCACCATGTCCAGTGAAGTGATTTCATTTTTTTCATTTACATTTATATGCATTTGTGCATGTGTGTCAGTAATATGTGTCAGGGCAGCAGTGGTCCACCCATGTTAGGGATGGGGAAGGATACCCTTACTAGACTGAAAGGTGACCATCTTTCACAAGAGAGGGCTTTAGGGTGTGTTCAAGATTGTGGAAATAGTAAGGTTTCAGTTAGGGTGAGGATGAAGAGGGTCCCTTCAGGTTGAGGATGTAGGCAGCCTTCTCTTCCGGACGGGAATGCCAAAGGGTGTGATGGAAGGAACAGGAGGGATGGGTATGTGTGGTCAGATCGTGTCCAGGAATGGTCTGGGAAGGACCGCTCTGCTATTGATGAGTCACTGCTATGGATGCAGTGACTGTGGTCAGCTGGATGCCCGGCATGGCTGGATGAGCTTTCCTGCTCTTCGAAGACGAAGGGTGTTTCTGGTGCTGCACTCTTGGGGGAAGCTCTTTCATGACAGCACTCCCTTTGGGTTCCATTTCTAGGAAGTGTGTATTACTGAAAATGGCATCGTCATTACTAACTTCAGATTTCAAGGAGACATCCAGGACAACTTAAATAACTAGGGTTGTCAGTGAAGAGCTAGGCTTGCTGTTGCTTCAGTTCAGTAACCACTCAGCCCCCAGGACTGTAGCCACCATAAATCTGAACAGTAAACGTCATCAGCAAGTGCTTCCCTCTGGATTCCATTCCCTTCGAGCATGTCTGCTTGAGGAGGGGGACAGGGATCTGCCTGCTAGTATGGGCTGCAGAGACCTACGCTGCAGCCAAGAGTCCTCAGGCCTCCAGACCCTCATGTGAGCCACTGTGGCACTGGTGTGACCCTGCAGGATCAATGAATGTGCATAGAGTGGGGTGACGGCTTGTACCAGCCTGCCCTGTCTGCTTGCTTTCCTCACCAGAATCTTCCAAACCAGGGTGTGTGTGTGGGGGGGGGGGGGTTGCTAAAAATCCAAAGAGTTGCATGTGACAGGAGAATTTCAAACTGTTGGTTTTGAACCACTAAGCTCTGTGGTCCAAAGCTCTGCTTTTCCAGATCTCATGTCAGAGGCGGCTACTTCTGTTTTTAAAGCAATGTGCTTCAGATCAATGTGCAGGAAGCTGCCACTGCACTGTGGGTTGTCAGAGAGGACTTTGTGCGGGTCCCTTTGCACCACTGTGCACACAAGCTCCACTGCATTCAGTGCTGAAGAACCCCCTCAAGTCAGCACGGCTGGAGGGGTACCTGACCCGTGCGCACTGCCGAGCCCAGCCAGGTATTCACAGGTAATGCAGACACCACTGGGGAAGACCAGCTGCAGTAAAGCGACATTGTTGACCAAGGAGACATTATTGGCATAGCCATGCGTTGGGAGGGGCCTTAGCACATAGGTAGCTGCATTTACTTTCAAAAATACCATTGCAGACTGAAGAAAAAGAAGAAGCTTTTAGCATACTTATCAAGCAGTTTTACCAGTTTTCTGATCCTTGGGCCAGAGAGCTGGGGGTGGGGTGGGGTGGAGAGCCTCCATTACGTCTTTCATCACGTTGAGGAAGTTCTACGTGCTCCTGTCCATGTTCCAGCATCTTGGCTCTGTTCTTGGTTGTAGAGCACAGATTCACATGGAGGTAGCTGACTGGTAGAGTACTTCAGGGCCCTGGGATTCATTTCCCAACACTGCTTCCCTGTGGGTGCAGGGGGTGTGGGGTTGGGGGTGGGAGGCTTTTGGGGAGAGGAGAATAAGAGCAAACATGCAAGTGCAGGTGATTGCCCAGCAGATCTGTGCCAGCCTGACAACTTGAGTTTGGTCTCTGGAAAAACTTCAGGATGTAGTGATACACATCTGTAATCCCAGGATTCCTACTGAGAGTTTGGAGGTGAGCTCATGTGCCAGCTAACATGGAGTGAAATGGCAGAAGCTAGAGACAGAGACAGAGACTACCTCAGTCCGGTGGAAAGCTGAAAGCTGACCTCTGACCTCCACATACGAAGGCCTGTGCGAGTGTACACATGACACACTCAAAGCAAGCTTTAAAATGGGAAGGCTGGGGAGAGTGAAAGGAAGAGGGAGAAAAGCAGTGAGGAAGGGTTGCTTGGAATGAGCTGCCTGTGGGTATCCCTTCCTTCTTAGCTCCTCCTGAAGCATCTGCCCTGCTTTGTTAGAGGTGTGTGGGTGCTGTTATCCAATGTGAAAACCCTGCTTTCCCTTCATGGACAGTGTCCGCCTTTTGCAGGTATGAAACTCCACTGCCTTCTCTTCCTGGCTTCTGAATTCCCGTCTTGTCTGGTTACTCATGCACTTTCCTTGTTGCTGCTTATCTCCTTGGTGTTATTCCTTGACATTCAAAGGAGGATTAAATATGGATGTTAGCACTTATCTTTGGCTGTTATCTTTCTCTTATTTTTTAGAAGGTTATGAGCATCTAGATTTTAAATACACACGGGAAGGCCTCTGCCTCTTCCCTGTGACCCCAGTACACAGCACTGATGTGACTCAGCAGCAATAAGCAACAAATAGGAGCCCCTGGGATCTCATGTCTCCCCTGTGCGGTGCTTGGTTGATGGAGATGCTGTTAAACTCAGATGGTGTACAAAAGGGATTTCTTGTTTTGTACTTTTGTAAAGAGGTCATTTATCTCAAGATTTATGTGTATTATTTGTCTGAATGCATGTACACATAGCACTTGCATGCCAGGTGCCCACATAGACTGGAAGAGGGCATTAGGATCCCCTGAAAGTGGAGTTATAGACCGTTGTAAGCCACCATGTGGTGTGAGGAACCCAAACCAGGTTCTCTGCAAGTGCTCTCTGAGCCTTCTCTCTAGCCCCAGGAATCCTTTTTCTGCCATGCTAGGTTTGAGATGACTGGAATTTACACATGCAAAGTAGGCCATTAACGTGGCTTCAGTTGTCAGAGACATCATTGTGAATATGAGAGTCCCACCAGATAAGCACTGATAACAAATGCCGGTCATATAGTGTTGCCTGTCTCCAGGGCTATATTCTAAAAGTTTTACCCTTACTCTGTTACTGTCTTTGTTGTACAGATAGGGTAATAGCAGACATAGTGTTACCTCATTACAGAGGATGGCTTAGAAACTATTTGTTGAACTTAAAGTAATAATTTATTTATGGGTATTATGCAAAGCAGTGGGATTTGTCCTATCCAAGACTGGAGAACAGAGGGGAAGGGGCACAGAGCCGACCTTGAGCTGTTTCTGTCACTTGGTTTAGTCTCAGAAAAGTCCATTGCTGCTGCTATAACAGTGGGCAGGATAGAGCCCCTAACCAGATTGCTAGGTGTGCACATTATCCATTCCTGGCCTGCACAGGGTTCCCACTCTTCTTTGTTTGGTCACTCTGCTCTTCTCAATTAACTTTTCCTATTAGGGATGCTCGACACCTCCTTGTTAAGTACTGTCTGGGCTCACAGGGCCACTGTAGCCTGTGGGTCTCCTCTGATGCCTCCAGCGTGCAAACTAGCAATTGCCATGTGCCCAGTGCTTCCTGTGAGCTTGGACAATGAGAAGCAGGCATTTGGCGCTCACTTTGTTGTCATTGCCCTTTCTGCTTATTTGTGTTTTGTTTTTATTAGGATCCTAGTAACAAAAAAAGTTTTCGTAAATTGCTCTTTGGAAGCTCAGAGAGATAGATGCAGGAGACCAAACGTTCTGCGGTTGACCCAGCACACACTGGGAAGCATATTGTGTTTGAATAGCCTTTCTGCGTGGGGAGACAAAGACATGATACCTGAAGATAGAGTAGCATGCAGCACAGTGGAAGTGGTCAAGGAAGAGCAGCAGTGACGGCTGGCCCTGGGAGATCCAGCTAGCCAGGGTGGCTCATGTGGGAGCAGGACACTTATGTTGAGGTCCTGCAGCAGCACTGCTGAGAAGACCTTGAGCTAGGAGTGGCCTTCAGTGTGTTTGAAGAGATTAAATTAACTGCCCGCATTTATAACTGGAGATTTCACATGAAACTCCCACTTAGCTTCTTCCCCAAAACAACCAGAGGATGGGGCAACACTGGGCAACAGTGAGAGAGGCTGCTTCCCAATGGCATTCACCCCACATGCAGACAGACACTGGGCTCCTCGGATCCCCACTGCCCGCTGTGTCGGTCCTGCCTGCTTCTCTCTTCTATGCTCCTTGAAGGTGGCTAGTCCCTCAGTAAGGCGAATGTGCCATGTCGAGAGGAGGCAGCGTGGCTGGACTTGAGGACGAGTTCACCTTACCGTGGAAGCTGTGTGGGGAGTCACTATGGGCGTGAGCTCAGGTCCTGTGCTCACATGCTGCCCTGCTCCTGCCAGCTTTTCATTCTACTTCCCGAGCTTATGAGAAATGGATAGCGTCTCCCTGCGGGTTTGCCATGAGGGTTAATGATGGCTGTGTGTGATGTATGTAGTGCCCAGTATGCCCACCTCCACCATGGTACCAGCACGGTAAAACCTGTCTACAGGCCTGGCAGGAATCCTTCCATTCAGTACTTGGAGGATATTGTTAAGAGAGAAACATTTGGGTCTAGTGGGTAACTCAGTCCCCCTCCCCCACTCCCGAAGGCATGGAAAACAAACAAAAACTCCTAAAATAAAACAAAAATGCAGTGTAAGCTGAAGAATTAAATCTGAAAAATGTGAACTTTTTTTCTAACTAAAGGAAATGCAGTTGTATATTTAACTTTCCTCAGGATGGGAAAGCCTTTCTAAGCATAAAACTCATGAAAGAGGTCAAAGGAAGGTCAATGGAGTCACGTGTAGAAACTCTTGAGCTATTCAACATCAAACAACAGTAAAAAGACAGACAGAAACGAGAGCAGTACCTGCAAGAATATGCCAAGGTGAATGAATGGCTTGCCAGCGCAGTGTCTGTGCACCGTTAAGTTAGAAAAGTGTTAACACCCACAGCAGAGCCCAGTGGCGGAGGAAAGCCAAGAGCAGATGTGCACGTGGGGAAATGTGGCCCTGGGCTGCTCAGTCCTGTTGTCCTTTCCCTCACTTCCCCA